GCAAATAGTTTGCCAAGATTGGTGCTTCTCTTCCATTTTTATCTGACCCTGACTAAAACTTCTCAGCCTACATTAACCAAGTAATGGCTCAACATGTAATGTGACTTTACCGAAGAGACTTAAATTCAACACGGACGTCAGCAGACCAAAAATATTCCAATATCGTCAAGTTTGTTTACTGTTATAGCTGCCGGGATAAATACAACTACATCGGATAAAAGCACCCGTCGCCATTTATATTCCAAAGTGAAAAAAAACATAAAATGCGTTTTGCAGATTTGGCTGATTGTTTTTTACATTAAAAGGGGTGTAAAACAGCAAAGGTGTGTTTTTCCTTCTTTTTTTATTTGCATGGCAGTCGAAAAAGATGCAAAACTTGTAAGACTTCAAAAACTGAATCTCAATAAGAATTGTTTTGTTTTCTACACGCAATGCAACACCTTGTGAAAGTTCTCTCTTTTTTTAAAATGAACGCGCAGTAGCTCATTTTTTTTTTCCTATTTGTCGTTTCTGACTTTATCTTGTATCATATTTTCAGTACGCTTAGCATATTGTTTACCCAATGAAGCATTCAGCTGGAAAACAGTGTAAACAGAGACTTTTACGCCGCCCCAAATATATGTACACAATCCCTACCCAAGTTTTAGAAATATTTATGAATAAAGTTACATTATGAATGAAGTTAAACCCCCATGCGTGGCCCATGCAGTGTTTAACATTTTTTAACATTCTTTTATATTTTATTTGACTAGAGTTTGGAAAGAGGGGTTGTTATTGATACCCCTTTTCGGTTATGATAGGCAGTGGAATTGTTTGGATAGGAAATGGGTTTGGTTAACGCGAAATTTTTGTATTCGCTTAAGGCATGCAAGGGGTACCTGTCATAAGTACACAAGAGTCAGCGAAGTGCACTTTTTTTGCGTCGATTTTCGTGAAATGTGTGTTTGTGTGTCAGAGAGAGAGAGAGAGAGAGAGAGAGAGAGTTCTTTTCTCCTTCTTTCGTCTTGATAAACATGGGTATGTGAAATAAGTAATGTAAAGTTAGAAAATGCGTTTGCTTAAGGAAAGCACTTAACATACCTTTCGGCCAGCCCTATTATTGTGAAGATTCATACGAGCACGTGCATCGCGCACGCGTTTTTCTTGCGCATCGACGAAGAATCTGGAGAAATTGCTGCCGTATCTGACATTATCACTGCAGCCTCCCCAGTCGAATTCTCCTTTCTTGTCTCGACTCTTCCCCTTCTTCGTGGGATCACATGCACAATTCAACAGTTCCCCCTTGCTGCATGCGCGTGTGATCGCGTGCACCACGCCCGCGCTTGAGATGGCATGTACAAACGCAGCCTCTCGGCTACCTACTTCACAACGAGAAAGAGAAAAAAACAAGATGTAGAAAAAGGTTTTCGACATTTAGAATTGTTAGCACTTTCACTTTAAAGAAAATGTTATTTTGTGCTTATATCTACATGTACACGCTTACAACACTTGACATTTTATCTATATTTTGTTTGTAATTCAGGCTTTAATAAAAATATGTATAATTTAGCAGAATATCAAGAATATGGCGACGTGTTGTTACTCTATACACAAAATCATACAGATAGCTTTAGACGGTCATCCCGGAAATAGAACACAAATCTTTTCTTTATGTTAAAACGTTTGAATTACTGCTTCCCAAAGTCTAAAAAAATATATAACTATATATCTATTGTACAATTTGCCATATTTCCAGTGCTAGCGACATTATAATTCTCAAACGAAATCTATCACTTGTTTTACACGTAAACCAAAGTAATAGTAAATCAATACAAAAGGAATCAACAGTAAAACAAATGCTTAAACGAAAAGTCAACGCACTGATCTCTGTGCATTTCTTTAGTCTATCGTCACATCAACGAAACAAAACCAAAAAGTATAATTCACTTCTTACCTTTAAGCATAACTTTCCCAAATACCGAAGCGTCCCTGTCCAGCGTGCTGCAGTTCCACCGCTGGTTCCTGAACTGGTATTGGCACTCCTTCACTCCCAGCTTAGCGCCCTCGCCCAGGCTTATCATCACGTCGGGATACGTCCGACAAAGTTTCTTCTGTTTCCCCACCAGTCCCGGGATGTTATCACAGATGACGCGCGCCCCCACCGCATGTAACGGGAGTTGACTTATGAACCTGAAAAAGAGAAGGTTTTATTGAGGGTAAGCAATGGCCGTTTGGACAGATGAGAGAGAGAGAGAGAGAGAGAGAGTGAGAGAGAGAGGGGGAGATGGGGGGGGGCAGTACTAGCGTTGGTAAATGAGGGGTAGAGATAAACCAGAGGAACCATTTACACATATTTCACATAATTGAAGCTTTAAGATTAGGTTTAAGATTAATTATCGTTGATTGAATAGCTGTGACACACCCTGTAGCGAACTTCACCTTACACTGCATATCATTAACGTTCGATATTTACTGTAATAAACTGAACCCCTTTTCCAAGGTGATAGGTAGACTGTCAGTCTCGGCCTTGTTACATTTACTACAATAGTGTTAATAGAAGTTTGTGCGTTTCCCAATGGTATTTTGTAAATTAACATTTACATAAACAGGCGGGAAAAACACTACTTTATCGAAAAGAAAATACGTTAGAATTTTGAATAAATAACAAATGTAAATAACGGGATCTAAGAGCAACATGGGTGAAATCCTATATGGCAATTCTCTGTGCTTTCTAAGGCAACAGAATGTATCAACATTTTCCTACAGGAACAATCGAAAGAAAAACTCCTTCCAACGTCTAATTTAATGAGGAGATGGATGAAAATTAGCTCGACCCAGCCTTACCTTCTCTAAAGATTTAAACAAATTGAATCTAATTAAGCCCTCTTCGCATTTGTAATATTTGAAGAGTGTCTGCTTGAAAACACTTGACGCTAGAGTGAATATACCATCCCTTCTTTTATAAGTCATTCAGCGCAATTGAAAGCCTTTGTTTGCGATGACAAATAAGGAATATTTTGCTGTTATTAATGTTGTTTTAATTACCCGCTTTCTAAAAGAATGGAACACCCTTTCTTAAACGTTTATATTACGAACTCTGTCTCGTCACCGTGACGGAATAAAAACCGCTGTGTCTTTCACAGCCCATGCCTGCGGATAACACAAATATTGAAAATAATCTAGCTGTATGCCTATAATAGTGAACCACAATATATCGTGGAAGTGTACATTTTGTACGCCATGGCGAGGACGGAAACGGGTAAATTGGATGAAAGGCCGAGTCATGTTCGCATGTTTGAAGAAAAGAGAGCAATAAAGAGAACAATGATTATACTGCCTGATTGTTTCCTTTCCGTTGTTTGATGGTAGCGTATCTCAAGGGTTTTAGAGAAATTACAGTAATTGTGGGGATCTTTACTCATAATAAGGTAGCACTTAGTCGTGACTGTCTGTAATATTGTTTTTGCACCGCTTTCCCCTGTGGTCTGTACCGCTTTTATTGTGTAACTACATGTAGTTCACTCATCTTTTTGTCCTATATTTAAGATGCTCAGTTGCTGGGTTTTTTTTATTGTAATACTCACTAATACTTTATCAACGTTTTAATCATGACTCAACCCAGGCTTTCTGTATATCCTTCATTTTCTATTGCTTAAAAACATTCTATATGTATGCTTTTTATGTTTTTCCCCGAACGCTAAGTAATCTAATAACTTTTGCGTTTTTATCCGAGGCTCTTAAACATTTCAATATGCAATCTGCACATAAGATTCTTTACACGTTAGATACCCAAGAGTAAAGCGAACAAAAATGTAAAGATGGTTTGTCTAAATCAATTGCACAAAAAGATCGCCTCCTTGGAAAATTCCAGAAAACAAAACAAAACAAAAAAAAAAAATCTCGTCTGCACAAGCACAACAAGACCATTTTGCACACTTGCGTAGAACTGTATGCCAGTTAGATTATAACTTAGTAATGATAATAATAATAACGAAAGAATCACACCATAAAACATTTAATACGATTCAAACTTACTTTTGAAAAGTTTTTAAAAAAGGTTAAAAACTAGTAAAACTACTTACGTCAGTGCTGCTAAAATTTGAATATCGATCATCGTCCAAATATCCTAACTCTGTCATATGCTGCAAACAAACTCTCTCGCTTGTGAAAATTCACTTTTTACACCATGACATTTACAAACAACCCCTTTAGTAGTCTACAACGTTTTGCTCTTTCTCTGTATGTATTTCTCGTTCAAGAGCTCCATTATCACGTTGGCTCTCCATCGATTAAAGCACTCTACAAAAACCCGGCAGTCGGGAAAGATAAACTAAACTTTCTCCCTCACTTCAAAGACTCATACTTAGTTTAAGAATTAACCTTTCTCGCGATAGAATGCGTTTCTGTTATTGCCTCCTAGTTGTACGCCGCGTGACGTTAAGAAGAAGCGGCGGCTTGGAAAACGACGCTACCCAGGCAAATCTAAGATAAAGAGAAGGAAAAAGAGGTCCACTTACCACCACGTACTGACGGCAAACCTGAGGTATCCAACAAGGACTATGAGTAAAATCCAAAAAGTGTAACAAAGCTTTGCCATAATGCGAATAAATCCATCGATGCATAAACGAGTCAAAGCTCTCTTGGCTCCGTCAAAATTCTTACAACCATTTTGTCCAAAAAATCCACGTGAAACGCACTCGGGGATGTACGGTTTGCTCTTAAAGCATCATCCGGTGATCTGATTGGCTAGACGGCAGATCAAAGCGCACCGCTCAGTGTTGGACAATTTTACAGCACAGCGGCAAAGCGGGTTTCTATCCACGGGTTGATCAGCAGAGCGTGGTAACTTGAATTTCTGGCTGGACGCTGTTATAATTATGATTAATAAGTCTTGACACTTGACAAGCGGAGAGCGTATCTGAATGCGAACGAGGGAGGGATCGCCTTTTATGTGGGATTTGCAAGCCATGATTTGATTTGCAACGTAAATCAGGGGAAGCCACAATAGCACTCATTGAGAATAAGGCTGTTACTATTTGTATGCGTTTCCTTTGCTGGCATTGTACGGGAGTATTGTGACGAGGGTCAAACCCCAAAAAGTGAATGGCGCACCGTATTCATTGGCTTACAATATCTTAATGAAATTGAGACGCCTAGGCCAGTTAGATAAACAAACGAAGTAACGTAGTGTTAAAGAAGTGTGGTTCACTTGCCCCGGGATAAGAGCAAATCAAAGACCCCTCCCGTCTACGTCGCAACCTCACACAAAACGTGTTATAAAAGCCCCATTGCCTGATTGAATTAATATTTTGTCGCATTCAATTTATAGTTGTGTCAATCGAATTATATTGGCTGTTATTTCGCTGGCAATATTAGTTGAATAAATTCGGACTATAATTTCGTCAACTGAGCCCTATTCTGCTGCTCTGAATCCCAAATAAACAAATTAATTTTTAATTAAATTATATCTGATTTGGATTTCATTGAGAGAAGGAGAGGAGGGTGGGTACGCCATGAAGTCGTGGAGGAAGCTCCACTCTCAAGTTCAAGGGATCTCCGTGCAACGTCCCTTTGAATAAGCATTCTTATTTACAGATATTTTCAAGAATAATGACCCGTTTGGCATTGTCCTTAGTTGTATGCAATTTCAGCAAGTATTTCTTCAAATAGTGACGGTAGGTGCTTTGAAATCACATTTTCCAAAATATCCCCATAATTTCCCCACAATTTCTATAAAAAATTCTTTTGCACAGACAATGCATTTTTGTAATATTTCAGGAAATACCTAACCATAAAATGATATCAATTCGGCGGTTTCTAGAGTTTACTCTTTATTTCAATTCAATTCAATTCTGAATTTCAAGTTTCAAATTTATTTCAGTTCTTTTTACGACTGTTTTGGGGGTTTCGCCTTATTTATCCAAGAAACCAGCTTTTATATTGTTTCATATATCTACTTATATGACTTTTGATTGAGAGAGAGAGAGAGAGAGAGAGAGAGAGAGAGAGAGAGAGAGAGGCATTGCTCGAAATTCTCTGGTGAGGACAATCGAAGAGTAAGGCGATATTGTGGTTTCGGCAATAAATTAACCGCACGCCCCCTACCCAATACGTGACAATCGTTTGTCAAGATCCCTTAAAGCCCTACCGCCTAATCCTATTACGAACAATCTACAAGACATTATACACAACCAGTGTATAAATTTCCACCACTTCAAGTACAGGTATCAAAGCATTTAAGAGAACAACTAACACTTGAGTCTATTATATCTTAAGTGGCGAGCTAGGCCGCTTCGAGGACCCTCCGGCAAATTCTATGGCGCCGCGCATACGAGATGGATGCGAGGGAGGACCTTAGACAGATAGACATTTTGATCACGGGGACGACGGTGTTCTTTGATTATGTGTAAAATATCACACCTCGGTTGCGCTTCAAAGGAACAGCAAGTGGATCTTATGTCAGCCGCATGCGTCACGTTGTCAGTGATCGGCGTAGGTGGACGCGGATATCAAATTTTCTTCGTGAGACGGGAAACTTTAGCTCGAGTTCAGCGACAACAATGGGATCAAAGTGTTATTTGTGCAGGCGATTTAATTTGATTATTTATATGACCCCGCCCTTGTGTCCGATGCCAAAGTGTGAACTTAGTACCTGATTAAGAATGGACAATATTTACTTTGACAATTTAGGGCCCTTTTCCATGAGGTGTCAATCACATCATGTGCCCTGAGTTTTGTAGCTATACCCCGTGCTTTGAAATCCACAACCTCAAGAATCCAATTTTAATTTTTTCCAACAATATGGCTTTCTCTAAGTGGACAACGATGTGAACAAATTCCTTCGTGGTGTAATGAAGATAAATCGAAATCCTCAATCTTTTTTTTCGTCAGATAATCGGACAGTTAAATCCGACTTAAATAAGTTTACTGGATGCAAGATTTAATATTCTTAACATTGAAAGAAAGGGTCCTACTTGAAAGGCATCATTTGCCCAATTCATAGCTAGCGCTACAAGAGCAAGTGCTTAAAACATAGGCAAATTTCTATCACAATTGTGTTGAAAGGGAATGAAAGAAAATCGAAGGTAATACTTATCAATTACTGTACTTATGGTAAAAATAAAATGATTAATGTGGTATTTAGCTTTCTTTATATTTACAATTCTTCTTCTTCTTATAAAGATCATGGGTAAAATTATCGTTTGTTGATTTTGATATAATAATAATAATAATAATTATTATTATTATTACTATTATTATTATGTGAATCTCTCCAGCTCTTAAATGTTTTTTGGGTCTTTTTTTGTGTGTCAGCTGCTTCCTGCAGCTCAGACACACAGCACTTTTCGCAATATGTAAGCTGTTCCAAGTATGACTGACAATTGTTGTTGTTGTTCTTCTTCTTTTTCTTCTTCTTCTTATTATTATTATGCCAGAGTCACGAGTATATACATGTGGATTCCTGAAAGAGACAATATTTTACTTAGATACTCAGGGTGCAGTAGAAGTGACGTCGACGTTACTCAAACGTTCCGTGAGCAGGTATCTTTAGCAAAGAGTTCTCAGAGCCTAATAGTATATGTTTTACCTTGAGAGATGAAAAGTTAGTTTCGGATTGAAATATACTGTTTTTCGATAAACATGAATAAAAAAAGAGACATTGGCGTAAGACACACACAGTATGACGATAGGCAACAAAGACGATCTAAGCATAACCGTGCAAGAACAAATGCGATAAAATGCCTTCTGCAACACGTAAATCACAACTTTGTTATAATCAATCATGTTTAAAATCAATAAATCATCACCATAGCTTTCGATTTCTGTTAAAAACCATTTACAATAAGCTTTAAAATGACTGAGATAATTTTCTCAAAACGTTCTGAGAATGTGACTGCGGTTAACATGACTCAAAATGCTGACGTGGTAGATGACGTAATTGACTTAATTACATTCTGCTTTCTGAAAGTGAAAAAGAAATCACGCCATCCTTAATTGAGCCTGGTGGGTGGAATCCTATTTGTAATAAGAAGCAAGAAATGTTTCCTTTGCCGCATTTTTCAGGTGTAGGCTAGCTACATTTATTGAATTCTTCAATTACATCAAATAAACAAACATATTTTGATATGTGGGGTAAGTTACTAAACTGAATCTCGCGTTAATAAAATGTGCTCAATTTTAATTCAAATTTGAATATTAAATGAGCAAAATGAAACGTTAAAAATGCAGACATGTCCGAGTACCAGGTGAAAGTGATCTTGTTTTCTTACATGACACCCCTTTAACTTCCAGCTAAGAGTATAAAAAAGCTTACGGTCAACGTCCACTGATATCTATTTATTCGCCGATTTCCTAACCATTTATGCTCGTGGACCCTGTTAAATGTGGCCGAAATATGACACAAATCGAGTTAAGATCTTTGGACAGCTGATGACGCCATACACTTAACGTAAGTACGCGCCCCTTTGAAAATGAACTAAATTTGAAGATATCAGCGATAGGTTATATTGATATTTGACCTAGACAAAGTGATTAAGGTCACTTGTCAGTTTCCGTATATTATCACATATAACACAAGTCGGTCTGTAGTCACATGTAGTTCAAATACGTTTTATTGCTTCAGAAGATGAAGAGCGCAGGTTTTTTAAAATGTCACGAACGTCACAAATAAAACCCATCAATACAACAAGGCTTCATCCAAGCCTACTGACCGTCTTTCACAAGACGCCTAATTCCATGAAAAAAAAGATAATCGAAGAAAAACACAAGGTTACCGTTTTCATGCCTTAACACGTACAGGCGTCCGACCTAAAATGAGAGGTTTCTAGATTCTACACTTACATCCCATATATCTATTCATTTTTAAATCCATTTTAGCATTAGATTTCATTGTGCACAGTGATGCTAACTACTAATTTTAATTCAATCTTCATAAGATCTTCTACCACTTAAACACCCAAAATGCGCATATTTCAACTGAAGAAGTGCCATTTAAAAATCGTACTTATCTCCAGTCTATAATCAACTTGGTGACAGAAAAGCACACCACAGTTCATTGACAGGGAAAAGGGCAGACCTTTGAAAGTCTTTTCCTTATTTTCTCTTTTTCACATCTTTCATTTGGCACTAAAGCAAATGTCATGTATTCAACTGTAGGTTGTCATTATATGATATAATGATAAGCTTCGGCTTCGTGATAGGAACCCAACAAAGCAAAATGACATTCAACTAGCTGAAAAGAATTAAAAAATAAAAACAACAAAACAGCAATAAAATACCAAAGCAGCTAGGCATTTTTTAACTAAGGCTCAAAGACAAAATTATTCTACCACTGAAATGTGAGTGAAAAGGAGATGCTAGTCTGCTAAATAACATAACAGGAGCCATAGATTACAATTTTACAATCATTTTAAGAATCAAAAAAATCTTTCTTTTTTTTCTAGTTTTCAGTTGAAGTGTTATCTATAAAGTGTACTTCTAAACATGTGACACCATGTAAAAAACAACAAAAAACATGTTCTTTACTAGTATGAAAATAGACTGACATTAATGTAAACAACAAATAGTAAACAAAGCTTTGCCCCTGATGAAAAAAAGCTGCCATAATATTAAATTCCNGGGGGGGGGGGGGGCACCAGCCCCCATGCAGTTTGTCGCATGTTCTTAATTAAAAAAAAATCTTTTCAAACACTTCTCCTCTTGTCTACATTTAGTTTATGAGTTTCCTTCTAAGGTTTGGTCAATTTGCTGATGTTTCATTTTAAATGCAATGGCCAAAGCCCATCAAGTCACCAGAGATCACCAAATGCAATTAATGCTGCCGACTTAAGTGCATTCAAACTGCTCATCTGCCGCAATTACAATTATTAATTCTTTTATCTTAAGATTTCAGCTCAGCATATG